TCTAAGAGGAGCTCAGTTTCTGGGGAATAGGCCTGCTACGGGTGCTGAGAAGCACAGTACAGCAGGAACAACATGAGGTATATGATCTCAGACAACAGTTACTCTAGATAAGAAGATGGGCGGCATCATGAAAACCAATTCTAAATAATATAGTGTCAACACAAGTGGGCAGGTCTTATTAACCAGGGATCTAGGGCGGATAATGTCAAGAAATTCAGTCTAGAGGGCAGATGGTGGGCGTCTGGAAAATCTGTCCAAAGCAGCAGCCCCAGAGGCCGTCAGCTGGAACTCACAGGCAGGATTCGAATCTCTGCAGGGAACTCAGTGTGCTCCTAGGCAACATATTAAGCCAAATAGTTATTCACAGAAAGTGATAAAGACTCAGCTATCAGAACAGAGGTTCAAAATAAACACAGGGTCTCAGATACAAGATAAAAAACAAGTTGTCAGCATTGGAGCCCAAAGTTAAGTCCAGACCAGTGAAAGGATGATTTATTCACAATTCTGAAAACACGGAGCTCTGGAGCCTTAAATATCATATTCCATATCTCAGAATTGAATTCTGGAGACTGGAGAGTTGCTCAGACTGCAAGAAGGCGTCAGGTGACACCAGCTGTGAGGAGAGAAATGAATAGGAGCATGGTAGGCAGTGGGGAAGGAGTGAGAGAGGTTGCGTCCCGTCTGATCCCGGCGAGGCTGAGGGAAGAGGCTTGACTTTGTTTAGTAGTGTTTCAGGACCACTGCCACTTCTAACCACAGAATCAGTATAATTAGAGCTATTCTTTGAGAGACTAATTTGAAAATTGCCAATGATCACAAGCTCAGCAGGAGAAATAGTGCCAACCTAATCCAATTCTCAGAGCAGCAAACAAAATACTCCATTTAGCATCGACACCGGCAGAAATGATGTTTCCATGGCATGCCTCTACCCAAGTCTCATCTAGAGTGTTTTGCTAAATTTTAGGCAAATAATTATAAGTGGATAATTGATAAACTGTAGTACATTCAAAGGAGAAATAAGTAGTCTCAAAAATCTTAGCCAGTAAGGAGTGGCTAAGGGAGATGTTGGCTTCAATTGGACAGCCTACGGGGAGGCTGGAACATCTGTCTTCCAATATTCAAAGCATTTTCACAAGCAAATAGGATTTGACTTATTACCTTTTACTGCACGAAAAAGCAATTTGTTCCCAGTTCCTAGATGTGTTAAAAGAATGACAGTTGTGCCAATGACTTCTCCTTCAGCAGGGAGACTGGCCGAAAGGCCCAGGAAGGGCCTTTGTGGGTTTCTCAGGTCCCCGTGTCGCACCTCCGTACATGTCGGTGGGGAACAGAATTTGGCTTCCTTTTGCATTGACTCTTGTCACGTGTCTGTGTGTGTGTAGAAATCGTTCCTTTCACAGACCGCCTCCTGAAAATAAGCGGACACTTGGGGAGCACTGCTACACTCCTCAGGGAAGAAGAGAAGCAGATGCGTGATTCATGCGGCACACGTGACAAATGTCCTCCCCTGCGGACAATGCCTGCCATTCAGGGTCCGGCAGCCACAGGCGGCGCTGCAGGAGGGCAGGAGGGTGGCACGGGGACAGCTAAGGGCCCCCCGGCCGGGGAGGAAAGCCAGGGCGCTCCCCGGGACCCGGCACAGGCAAACGAAGCGCACGGGAGCTCGGGGTCAAGGGACAAAGGCAGCAATGCATCGGTGCATGGGGACGTCGCTGGGCAGGAAGAGTCACAGAGCGAGCTGTTCCCAGATAATGCAGAGAATGGGAAGGACAAACAAGCAGCCCACGCGCCCGCTGAGAGCATGGCTGGCGACAGGGAAGGGACACAGGACCTCATCCAGCCAGCAGCAGGAGAGGCCCAGGAGAGCTCAGACAGCCAGAGGGAAGAGCCTGCTGTGGCCTCAACGACAGGGGATCCGGCCAATGCACCTGCGAGCGGCCTGCCCGGTGATTCCGAGAGGCTCAAGCAGGACCAGAGCGTAATGCAAAAGGCGTAAGTAAACGTGGTCAGCTGGCCTGGGCCCCTTTCAGTGCGCTCCTGAAGCTAGGACTCAGAACATTTATACACGAATACAGCTTTATATTTCCACTTAATATCTCCAGAAGATAGTGTAAACCAGTAATTCCGTTTAAATTACTTCTACAAAGATGTAAGTGGCTCCAATGACTAATATGTTTGTTTCTTATAGCTTTAGGAGACAAATGTGTTAAATGTTTTTTAAAGGAGGAAGAAATTGATATGAGAAAGTAGTTAAAATGTATCATTGTCCAGAACAGAGACACTCTAAAATCACTATTTTTTCGATTATATTAAGAAAAAATGAGGAGGCTGAAAAGTGTTCAAAATTTAGGAGAGAATTTTCCAACCTCAGATTTCTTTTATTTACGTTCCTAAGTGAATTCCCAGATTTATTTTATTTATGAGTAATCATGAATTCTATGTCTGTAGAACTCTAGGGGAATCATGGAGAAGCTTTGGAGATTCTTAAAATTAAATGTATTTTCATACCAATTAAATCTCCTTGGTTCAGAGTTTTCCCCGGATTCTCAAAGAAACTGTGACTTCAAAAAGTGTGTAAGACTGATCTATTTTATAACTTATCTTCCCAATACAAGTAGGTAATTATCCCTGTGTTCAAATAAAATGCTCACAAGCCACATTCCCCCAGCAAAAACAACACCCTTAGAAGGCAATGGGGAATAGTAAAAAATAAAATAAAATTAAAATTAAAAAATCATTGTTTTTTGAGTCAGACAGACTTACATTTTATCTCCTGTTTTATTACAAACTAGTTCTGTGACCCTGGGCAACTTGCTTCATTACTGAGCCTATTTTCCTCTTCGTAGAAATTGTATATATTTTCTGGGATTACTTGGTAAAGCCAAATGAGAAAATCAGGTAAAGGTCTTAGCACCGTTCCACTTTGCAGAAGTTCACGCTCAGCTAAATGTTAGTGTGTTCATTTATTTCACCCCCAAAAACCTTCACTTTCTCCCCACACAACTAACCTTCACTTGTCTCCTCGCTACCACCATGTGTGGTGCTCTTTCAGATGCACGGTACCATTTCGGGACAGCACCGCAAATGAGCTAAGATCCCAGAAGAGTCATTCTACTCACTTTGACTTTAGTCATCTCATTTATAAAATGAAGAGGTTGAGGCAGTTCAGCTGTGAGGACAAATCTGAAAATCTAATAAATTCTACAGGTGTCCCAGAAGTGCATTCAATGCATGAAAGGCCCCCATAGTTTGAAAGAATGACTCCCCCTGCAAAACAACTATTGAAGTAGCCAAACAGTTGCTCTCATTTCACTTGAGAAAAACATTAACACTTCAGATCCTCACCCTCAGAACTGACTCAAAGCATCTGACAAATGAGTCATTGCTGAATCACTCCCTCTCACACCTCCCTCTCACAACTAGGTGTTTCCTAGCTGCTGATTTCCTCTTTGTGGCCTACAAGCCAATTGTGCTTGGCTTGCACATTTAAGAAGGACTACTCATTGCAATCTCGCAGGCTAGGAGGCTGTCATGCCACATAAAAGATGAGTGTCATAAACAAAACCTAACTCAGGATCTGTTGTGATTCCTCCCTGAATAGCTTTTTCAAAAAAGGCCTATCTTTTCTAGTGTAGTCGTCCTATATGAACAGATTCAAAGGGAAACAAAACTAGAATAAACCAATGTGATTATTTTCTATTTGGTTAGGGTTAAGGTAAATGAAAGCATTTACAGGTCTCCCCACCCTACTTCATCTGTCTTTGGTACGAGTGCATTGAGATGGTTCCCAGATCACAGAAGAGAGTCATTCTTGAAGTCATTCTTGACGACTGGGTCACTGTGTCCTCTACTAGACAATGTTTCTCATTTTCTGAATTACCGTAATCACCTTCATCAGAGAATACATGCATATACTAATGGGCTGAGTAATTTTCTATTCTTTCTAACTTTATGGGTTCAGAATTATAAATATAGGGTGTCCCAAAAATGTATATACACTTCAACAGCTCAATTTTGAAAGTGAAATGTATTTTCATAAACACTGCCTTTATAATTATTCAAAATGTGTATACACATTTTTGGGGGACACCCTATATAAATAAATATCCCTCTCTTCAATTTCAACATATTTGTTAGATTTCTATGTTAAAGTGAACTATAAGATTCAAGTTACTAATAATTAATAACCGAAGTTACTAATAACTGGTGATTCTAAAACTGGTTATTAATGCTGTATCTTGTACAGATCCTCTAATTTGCCTTTGACATTGTTTATATTATTTTACTGGTATAAAATGAGAAGTAGTAAGAAGAGGAGAAACTCAAGCTGGAAATTTTAATGTAGAGATCTAACATTTATTGAGCACTCATTTTATACTACACTATTTTATAAGAAGTTTAAATATTTTATCTCATTTAATCTTCACACTATTGTGGATTAGATATTAGTTTAAGTATGTAATGCATAAAAAACCCAGGGCTTTGGAATGATTTGAGGAAGTATGATATTATATTAGAAAGTTTGAGTTTTGGGTTAAAGACAGATGGAATCAATTATTGATTCTATAACTTACCATCTGTGTAATCTTCAGCAAGTCAAAATTTTTAAACCTGTTTCCTTATCTGTAAAATGGTGATGATATACTTGCTTGACCCCAAAGTTGGAGATTAAATGAAGTAATATATTGCCTAAAACCTGGCCCACAGAAAGAACTAAAATATTAGCTATTTTAATAATAATTATTGATGTTTAAGGCCAAACAAATAGCAAGTGACTGATCTCAAATTTGAATTCAAATCTATAAAACTGTCAAATCTTTGGCAAAGGTAACACAAATGGTCAAAATAAGCTTTTGCTCAAAATATGCTTTTGGATTTTTTCTTTGAGGATTTTTAACCTATGGACACAGACATTGGTATGGGGAAGGTCTGGGGGTGGCGTGGATGTGAGGTGGAGGGCACCAATGGGGAGAAAAAGGGAACATCTGTAATACTTTCAACAATAAAGATAAATTTTTAAAAAATGAAAAGGGGGAAAAAGAGAAAATTTTAAATTTCATATTTGATTTGCAAAAAAATAAAATAAAATAAATATTAGTTTCTAATTACCTTGATTAGTCATAAGTTCACAGCACTTTTGTATCTTTCTCAGTTTTTCTAAAAAATGGGATAAACATCATCATTTGATCTAATGTGTCTAGACAATTCCAATACGAGATATACATTTACTCCCCTCATAATTTAAGGAACTATTCAGGTGTCAGTACTTGATTTATTAAGAGGCTTCAGCCATCTTCAGATTCATATTGTGATGTGAACAAAACTGATGAATGAATCAACCACTTAAATAATAATAGTAATAACAGTAGCTAACATGTATAATACTATGTTCTAGGCACAGATTTTTAATTATTTAACATATAATAGTTCATTTAATTCTCACAGCCTTCCTATGAAATTGGTTATTATTTTATTACCATGTTATAGTTGAGGAAACTGAGGCACAGAGAGGTTGAGTATATTGCCTAAGGTCACAGCATCAGTAAGTGGGAGAATTGGGTTCATATGAAGACAATGTGACCATAGAGCTTAGGCTCTTATATATTTACCCATACAGTACATAAATCAAATATTTGCCAAAAGCGTGCCCTTTTATTTCCCTGCAGGTATCTTGACGTGCTGGGTGATGATATGGGCCCCCAAGTGTCTTGTTACATCAGGGCCCCATCATACCTTCTGCAACATCTAGAATGCCGAATAATTAATAGCATGAGTTCTTTAATAGTGAGTGATAATGAAGAGTTGGTCAGCAATGTCATCACTGTTGAGTGCTCAGCTGTGGAAACAAGAATTCCATTTCCAATATGCATCGCAATCCCATTCACCGCACGTTATAGGGGAAATTACAAAGACATCATGGTGAAAGTGTCCGACATAAACCTCCAGTCAAGTTACCTGACCCCAAGTTCACTGGAAGGCGTGAGAGGAAGTTACAAGGTTGGTAAACCATTGGCCACATCTACACTTGCTCTTTACCTCCTCTTGGAAATATCACTCAGACTACCAGATTGTACTATAGATATAATTACTCATTGGTATCAAATGAAAGGGTTGATAGGTCTATGTTAGCACATTCACACTTTATTTGACATCCACAAAGATCAAAGAACAGAAACTATTGGCCAAATTTAGGGAGAGAGAACTTGGGTCTAGGACACAATAAATGCTTTATTTTCACCTGGGAAACAAAACCAATACCATGGCTTCATTAGCTTCATGCCTTAGGCTAGCTTTAGACCAACATTTTTATTGTGATGGACCTTTGCAAAATTTAAGAATGTTAGAGTCCCCAGATTATAGTAGCTTTCTCATGATCATTCATGGGCTAGGGAAATATGTTAAAATGAACAATTGCACATGTGTATGTATGCCTTGAGATAGTTATTAAGCTTAGGATTTGTGTTTAGCCCACCCATGGAAGGCAGTATATGTGGTAGTTAGGATGTTGGTTGTGAGGGATTCAAATGTGGTTCCCATACTTTCTTGTTATGTGAACTTTGGTAAATCATGTAACCTTGCTACGGCTCAATTTCTTCATCTGAAAAATGAACAAATAACAGTATCTACCTGATAGGGTCATAAGGACAAAATGAGAAAATATTGCACACTTAAAAAGATAAAAGGAAGCCTAAAAACACTTGCTAGGAGTTAAAATTATAATTTTTCCATGGTATACTTTACTGTATGATTCTGAGGATCTCTATGGTCACAAATCCATATGTTTTGAAGAAAGAATATATACGATTATTAAACTTAGCATAGATTTGATGGGAACATTGGTTTAGGGTACTTCTGTGAACCAGTGAACTTACTTTGAAACAATTTAAATATTTGTCTTTTTAGCTTTATGTAAACTGTCATTGGTTGAAGAGGAGGGCAGAGAATAAATGTAAAGAAATTCCATACATACAAGAAATTCTTTATAATATATCTCTACCTTTTCTGGTTTGGTCTTTTCTGAGTTACAAATAAGGTTATATAGTTAAATATGAGAGCTAAGCCTGTTCAATCATTTACTCCAATTCATGCAACTAATACATTTTATATTTAGTCTAGGAAGAATGTAAGTATATCAGCTCTTTTTGTTTGTTTGTTTTCGTTTATTGATTTTAGAGAGGAAGGGAGAGACACTGATTTGTTGTTCCACTTTTTTATGCATTCATTGGTTGATTCTTGTATGTGTCCTGACCTTGGATCGAACCCACAACCTTGGAGTACTGGCCTACACTCTAACCAACTGAGCTACAAGGCCAGAATAACAGCTCTTGATTGGGGCTTTTTAAGCTTGGCCGTTCTATGTGACTGTCATAAAAGCAAGAAAGTGAAAAAAAAAAAAGAGAGAGAGAGAGAGAGAGAACTATTTTCTACTGGAAAAAATAAAAGCCTATCCCTTTCTCTTTAGGGTATTCTAATGGTAGTTATCCCTATTTTTAGCTCAGGACAATTTAAACTCTGGATTCTCTCCAAGTGTTTATGTGGTTCATATGACATTTAAGAATTCTAATTCTGGAGTCAGATAAACCACCATCAGAGGTTCAGGACACACCCCTGGTTAACAGCCCTTCCTGTTCCCCAGCATCTGCCAGATGTGCTTGAGATGCGGGGCAACCACCACTGGTTCCCAGGACACCTTCCTTCCCTTCCTCACACCATTTGCCTGCCAGCCAGCTAGGAACATTTATCATGCCCTGACTTTTCCCAGCGATGGAGTTGTGCAGTGATATTGTGAAATCTTTCCTTAGTCAGTTTTCAAATGACGGATTATTTTGCATTGTGATTGTCCCTGAAATGTGTGTGTCTGCACGATTATTTGCTCACGCCAGGGCGGAGCCCAGCTGGCATTCAGGAAAGCATGAGTAGTCCAAGTTACTTCTAAGTCTTCCTCATTTTCAGCTTTGGAGATTGTATGACTAGAGAATTTTGTTTACATTTATGTACAGTTCCTTTTTGTGCGATAAAAAAACTTGAAAATGCACCTGCATATATGCATTACAAATGCAAATGTCACTAGATAAAAAAAGAAACACAAACGTCTCTCTTGGTAGTCAACTGCTCCCACGGCAGGGAAGAGATTGTGAGTTGTCAGAAGGAAGAATCTGGGGACAATACAGGAGCTATGGGGTGTGCGTCAATTACCCACTGAAACTTCAGTCCTTGAAACCCCTAAAGCCAATATTTAAAGTTCATTCTGGCAAACTTAAGGAGGACAGGATTCCAGGAGTGATTAACACTTGTAAAAATACTGAATGTGATTGCCCCTTATACATACACATTTTCTCTTTGGGGTTTATTTTAAAGTTAAAAGTACATTGATTTCTCTCTTTTTGTCATGCAGTTCAAAACCGAGAAACTCCTCAATACCTGTGCTCAGTGGTGGGGGATCACAGGGTCAGCATATAGATTTTTTTCAGAGCCACAGAGTATGTTCAGCATGTACTCCCAGAACTCTGCAGGGTCAACATCCTTGTCTTAATGCCCTTCAATCCATACAGGGGACCTGTGCTGAAGTGAAAGTTTACAAGTTGGGTATCTTTTCTGTCGTGTCTTGTTTAAAGAAAGAGTCCTTCACAGTAACAAAGAAAGGCCTCACTCTCAAGCCAAGCATGGATTCTCGGATATCTTTGCATTACCCCCCAGGAGTTTTCAGCTCACCGGTGCTTGTACAATTAAAGGTAAATATTAATAACCAGTGACTTCCTTCTTATAGATTTTGTGGGTTATCAAACATGGTCCTAAAAGATGAGGAAAATAGAAATTTTTAATAAAATAGCAAATGAATCCTTCTCTGATACTTTTAACCACCTAACATACAGTGTTATTAGTAAGAAAGTAATGATTTGGGGCATATGGAATCTCATTTTCAAAATGAATCTCCAATCTATTTGAAAGGTTTTTCTAGCTATTTTTTGTGTTGAGAATAATAGAATTGATGCCAGACACTGGACATTCATATGGTTCAAGATTTCCACCTGAGAGGTAAAAAGGAGGCTAACGATTAAAATATTTATAATTTTGAAAATCTGGTTATATTTAATTATAAAACAGTCCTTCTTGGGAAGGAATATTTTAAAGAATTCAATATATATAAACACTATTCATAAGGTGAGCAATGATGTATCAATGTACATCTTAGAAGATATATTTCCTCAGCTTTTCCCTGTACTTCTGGCCTCAACTCTCTCCCATGTGCTTCTATTTCTCCCAGTTGTTACCATAAAAGGTAAATGAGAAAGAAAAGTTGGAAAGAAAACATATGATGAATAATTTTTGTAAATATTTTTCATAAACTTTGAAATTTTGGGAATTATGCTAGCTATTTTTATCATTAGCCATTTTATGTGAGAGAAAACACTTACGTAAATATAGTCTTGTTTTTCCAGTTTCTAAGGATCATTTGATCTAATAGCTTTAATTAGAAATTATGTAAAACGTCTATTTTGTTTTCTAGGTCATTTTGTTGCCTACAATTAAGGGTGTTTCTCAGTTATTTATAACAAAGGACAGGGAACCCAGATTTCAGAAAGACTTTGTAGGAAGGGACTAACTGCTGTGCCCTTTTATAAACTAATGCAGTATTGGTTCAGCTAACAATGTGTAAAAAAATATATTAAAACTGTGTTCCTTCAAATTTTCAGAAAATTGGTTTAGAAATGTGCTGCTACTTTACATCTTTTGCTATTAAAATATAGTAACATATATATATTTTTTGTTTGTTTATGTTTGTTTAGATCCAACCAGTTGACCCATCTCTGGTGGCATATTTAAAAACCCAGCAAGACACTTCCTACTCGGTACTGTCCACCAGCCCTCTGGTTCATGTTCAGCACCCATCAACACATCCTTTCCAGAAGCCAGTCACTGTACTCCTACCTTGCTCTTCACACCCTGATAAAAAGAATTTTGGGTCTGAGATAGATCATAAAAGACCAGCTAGTATCACAACGAAAAGCATCATACCTTTATACCTCAGCCGGTGAGTTAGACCCTCTTATCTGTAACTGACTTGATGGTAAACAAAGAAACTTAAATGACTGAAAAATGTAATCAAATGTCTTGTATTTACTATCAGTATTAAAATATTAAAAATATTTTTAATATAGAAATAAAATGTAGATCCACAAAGGGCAATGATTTTAGCTGTAATGGGCCCAAAAGTATGCTTTATGATCCAAGAGATACAAAACAGGCAAAATTAATCCTGGCTTTCCAAGAATTTTATATGGTTAATTACAAAGATGTGGTATGGTGATTTTTTTTTTTTTAACTTCTGTATTTAAGAGTGTTCTGTTAAAGTAGGAAAAAGATTAACCTGACCCTTTCCAACAAATTAAATTTGAGTTTACATTTGGCATGTAAGTGAATTCCTCCCTCTCTTAATGTTTAAAATGAAACAAAATCCCCACCAACAAGTGTATATTGAGTTACCAGCCAGAAATCAAATCAGAAATGAAATGTTAACAATAAATCGGATACACTGAATGATACTAATCCTGATCTAAATTCCTGTCTTTCATTTAATACTTATTTTCTTTTCCTAATGAAAAAAGGTAGAAGGGACTCCTTCTATTCTCTGGGTCTAAAAAGATTTTTTTTTTTCTTTGAAAAAAACAGAAGAGGGAGAAACTGCTTCAGGCGTTTAATTGAAATAATTACTATTAATTGAGAAACCACTATGTGTTAGGTTCCTTATGTATACCATGTCATCCAATCTCCTCACTACCTCATCTTTATTTTATTAGTGAGAAGGCTGAGATTAAGAACTTGCACAACTACCTATCACTACCAAGGAGTGCAGCCTTGGTGTGGACTCACATAGCTCTCTTTCTAACCATGACTCTATGTAGCCACCATTTATTTAGTTTGAAGCTACAAGGCTAGACACTGAGAAGTGGATCATTTGTTCTTTCCACTATGTTGGCAATTTAGGGAGCTGGCAATAGTGGAATGTTGGGCTGTGGCTGGGAGAAGTCAGACTTTCCCTAGTGTTAGATAAGTGAGAGAGAACATAGAAATGTAGACACGATCCAGTTATACATACTTTTGTTACTTGGGATATATATGTGTATAATACATATAACACATATACATCCTAAGTGGAAACTTAGTTGACTCTTGTATATCATGGTAAAGTAAGGTTTTAAAGCAGAAATATCCTGAAGCTTCTAATTTAAAATGTATCAGTCTAATAGAGTAAGACATTGTCTTCTAAATATCCCCTAAAATACACATATATTATAAATATATATTAAATATATATGTTGATATATATTAAGTATATGTATATATTTAAAGATAGGAACTTGACCATAAAAACTGATTCTGACTGCTAGAATTTAGTATTTCTACTGTCTGTAGGGTGGATAACAAAGGATTAATAAAAATGATTTGTGACTGACATGTACTTTACATCATAAAACAGAGCAGCTCCATTTGCCAGAAAGATAATAGAAGTAACAATTTGCCTGTCCCCTATTATCTGATCCCATAGTCTATACATACCAATGAAAATAGAAATCTATCTTTGTAATACACAGATATCATTTTTGGAGATGATTAGATCAGCCTTCCTTTGCCCCTCCTTTGTTATATCTCCACATCCCTCAGGAGCCACGGAGCAGAATGTAGAGAGAAACTGGAGGCAGCCGAGTGCATTGTGAGAAATGCAATTCCCGCAGTATAGGGGTAAAGTTGGGGCAGTGAGAGCCCCAAGAGAGATGCTCGCTGAGGCTGGCACCTTTTCATACACGCCGTCGAGTCAAAGCACTGGAAGTCCAGTGAGCACAGGTCAGAGGAGGTTACACCTTAGTCCAGAGGAATTCCCCTCAGTAAAAATGACTGAACACTGGAAACTGGTTTAAAAATTAGGCACGTGGACCTGCCATCCAAATCTGAGAAAGACGCTCAAACGGTTACTGAGCTGAAAGTGGGGAGACACATATTCACTCAAAGGTTAGAAGAAAACAAAATCCTACTTGGTGTCTTAAGGGAACAAAACAATAGCTATCAATATCAAGATTTTAAAAGAAGAACAAAAACAACAAAACAGAAATGAAGGAAAAGCCTCATCCTGACTTTCACAGAAGTTCAACAACGAGCCTCAGGTGCCTGGAGACTGTGATAGAATCTACCGTGTAGTTGAGTAGCACCCAGCAGGCAAAACTTCCAAGAAACAGAAAGCCAGCAGGACGAAATACAAAATCATACTGGACGTAGACTGTAATTAAAACTAAAATAAAAAAGAGCAACAGGATGAGATACAAAGATGACAAACTGAGATGAAAAGGAACGAGGTCTGATAAGAAATCCTTTGAAGAGATGTAACCTAATAATTTCAGGTGCCATCAAAGAAGAAACCAGAGCGGCCACAAAAGAAGGGTTAGGCAAAGGCACAGGTGACCCGTTTTCTGATGTTGATGAACCTTAAGTTAGAAAGTACTGAAGGATTACTAGACAAAAGTCGTGAAAAGAAAAATATTCTTAGACGTAACATGGAAAACGGAAATGTCTGAGGAAAGTACAATTCTATCAGCATCCATTCAGCAGAAATACTTAACGTAAGAAGGAATAAAATCAGCCTCGCCTCAGTCTCATTCTTTGTCGCACTAAATATCAAGGGGAAAAATGGACGAAAGCCTTCAAAGTGTTGAAGGGGAGATGTTGTGGAGTTTGGGTTATCATCCGAGAAAGGAGTTTTTCTTTCTTTGAAAACATAAGAGCTCGCAAAAATGTACTACTTTCATGTTCTTAAGAGAACAAATAAACAGATAAAATTAATGAGCTGGCTTGATAAAGTTGAAGAGATTGTTTTTAAAAACCTGGTCTTGAATATAAATAATATAAATGCAAAGAGAAAGAAAAAAGGAACAGTTCATTTGGCAAAGAGATAACAGAAAGAAAACAAGAAAACAGCACAGTGGCATTAAAGAGAGAAGCTGATGTAAATGAAATCATCAATTATATTCAGTAAATATAAATGGGTTAAACATAATTTCTTAATATTAATCTTTAGTATTTTATATGCTATATTTGGGGTAATTTTCTTAGATTTATCATATATTTTACCAGTTTTTCCCATCAGTTGTCTAAACTGTTCATTTCAGTAATTGTAATTCTCACTTCTAAAAGGCCATTGCCAAATTTTAAAAATCTTTCTTGTCCAAGCTCTTGTGTTTTGTTTTTTTTATTATGCTTTCTGTGTCTCCCTTTACTCCTTTAGTCATTGTAAACACACTAATTCTGTGGCCTCCTTCAGGTTCTCCTGTCCCCAATCAGCGTAAGGATTACTCTCATGCCTCGCAGCATGGTGTACTCCGGCACACCGCCTGCCATACTAACTCTGTTCTAGCTTACCCTCAGGGATTCACTCCTGAGTATTGGTTATAATCTTTATCAGAATGACTTTTCTTCTCCCCTTCAGGGCAGCTTTTATGTGCTGCTTCGTTGTTTTCTTGCACCAGTGTTCGAAGAGATTTGGGTTGTTTGTGCTGTTTCTCATTTCATGTACAGCTCTGCCCTTTGGGATTCTAACTTTATGACTTAGCTCGGGCTGTATCTAATGCTCCTGAATGTTCATTAAGGGCCAGGCCCCACGCACGTGGTGTGTGTGCACGGTCAGTGGGGTGAGGTGGGAGGCTGACCTGGGTAGAAGGATCAACAGAATCAGTTCCTCATGTTCCCTACGGAGAGAAGAACATTCTAGCTTTTTGAAATTCTTTTTCACTTGTTTCCAGACCTAGGGGTCCCCTCCCTGCCCCACCAGATTTTCAGTTCCTCCAGAGGGACCCACTGCTCCTCTGCTTTAGCCCCATTCTTTGTGCACATCCTGTATCTTACCTTCTTTTTTTCATTTACCACCACTCAGCAAAAGTATAACATAGTATGTACTCAAAAAATGGTAAGCAAATCAAAGAAATTAACAAGCAAATATGTGGAAATGTAAATTGTGTTATTAATTCCTCTGTGCTTTTGACAAAGCTAAATTGACACAATTATTATCAGTGCTAGATATGGTAGAAGCATTTTCTCCATCCAGTGGAGCATAAGACAATCAAATGAGAATCTATATCACTGTTTATTTCACACGCTTTCCTCAAAGGGTGAAAGCCAGATGAACATTTTCTGTGGAAAAAGAAACAGTAAAGAAATCCATGCCTCATAACATAAAAAGATAAAAACTGGTTGAGGCCCAAACACAGTACGTCTGTGAAAATTAAAGGTCTTCATTGAATTACATTCCTGCATGTCTGAATGATTTCTGGGGGAAAGATGAAAGTCATTTAATTGTGAGCCAGAAGTGATTTCTTGACAGTAATGAAAGAGGAAAATTTATTAAATAGAAACATTCCACATTGTACAAGAAACATTTTAGAGAGTTACAAGGAAAGAGTTGCTCTTGGAAAATGGTCACTTCTACACAACGCTGTTGGTTTTAAGATTATCTTCTTCAAATGTAACATGAGTCACACACAAAACTATTTGTAAAATATGTGTCAAACCCCATAATAAAGTGGACAAACTGGTAAAGCTACCACATCACTGAAGAGAGTGGATATTATCCACACAATTGTGTCTCCTTCCTTGGCCCTCTCCTATTTCACCCCCAGCCTCACTACATGATTTTTATGATACTGTCCTTTATCGTATGAAGCTCTTCCTATAGAATTGTTTTCATTCCGTATCTACTGATTCTGACATCGGTAGCCTTTGAGGGCGTTGCCTGCTGCTTCTGCTGTTGTCCATGGTATTTACCTCCTTACCTGTTTGGGGACTTTGTTTCTGAGCAAGCGAGGGTGAGAATTCTGCAGGCATGCATGGAGCTGTTTTCCTCCAGATGACATCTGTTTTTCTCTGCAGAGAGCCAGATGCTACTTTTTTGAGACCCCGTAGCCTCCTTGAGAATCTTGGTTAAGATCTCAAGTTCACCTTTTGTGGATGGCATCCGAAGGATCTCAGTTCCTTGCTCTGCTCGCTTGA